AATCTGTTTTAGACATGTCTGTTGTCTTTTAAGACGTTGACATTTTGTTTCATTTTTATGTTTTATTTTATGTGTCTTAGTGTTTTGCCTACATATATATCTGTGTACCACATGTGTAAAGTCCCTGCAGAGATTAGAAGAAGGTACCAGATCCCCTGGAACTGGAGTTACAGATGGTTGTGAGCTTCCTTGTGGGTTCTGGGACCCAAACTGAGGTCCTCTGTAAAAGCAGCCAGTGCTCTTAACCACTGGGCCAGCTCTCTAGCCCCATGTTTTTTCCCTTAAAAAAATATAGAATTTTTTAGAATTAGGATTTTGTTAAGTATTTTTCTTAAATGAACCTCTCCGCTGACGCAAATAATCCCAGTCAGACCGAATTAAAAGACACCCATGTTTAATAGATGACCTTACTCCTGGGTGGCCCCAGGAAAACATGGAGAGGGGAAGAAAGAGAAGGGGAGACCATGTGTTCATTCTCTGGGGGCAGTTTAAATAGCCTGTGGGAGTGGTCTTGACCTTCCCTAGGAAGGGGTCACCCTTTAGTGGGCTTTCTCGGAGGTGGAGTTTGGACTGAGGCAACTTCCAGGGGAGGAAGCTTATGCCAGAAGCTGGGGTAAAGCCCCCAGACAAACATCCAGACTCTTTGTATAAGGGGGTGTTAGGGAGCTGAGGTGATGCTTCCCACCAAACAGATTTCTCTTGATTTCCTCAGGGTAGTGGCGGGTTTAACTGTTGTTTTGAGTACTGCCTGGGTCCTGCACTTACGATTGTATCCCGTTGCTCTTGCCTCCCTTAGGATAGAGGTAAGATGCCTGCTTGCGTCTGTCTTCAGGGGCCGCTTATCCACTAGGGTGAGAGCTAGCTAGGAGCCTCATCGGCTGCAGCTGCTGCTGAACGCTAGATGTTGGTGTCCCCAGAGAGACCAATTTCACACAACCTTCCCAGTCTCCTTTCCCTTAGCCCTCCCAGAAGTCAGTTTCCTGTGCTCAGTGTTGGGGACTCATTGGCCATGCTGAGTGAGAAACAAAGGCAGGAGCTGTTGGCTTGTGTGGGAAACTCTTATTCCATAATGTAGAAGTCTGGTTATTAAAGAGACCTCGTTTCAGGCATGGAGGTTCTTATTTTCATGGGAATGAAAAGAGAAGCAGGATTTGGTCCCTGCCCTGTGGCTGGTATTGCCATCTGTCAGGATGGAAGGAGCTGGCTGAGGGGGAGGAGCTCGGACTAGCACACAGAGAGAAGCTCTGCACCTTTTAGCCTCTTCTGAGCCTGAGAGCCTAGGTGCCACCTGGTTGGTCACCTAACGGTACAAGGGAGGGTCTCTGCCACGTGAGACTGCACAGGTGGGGGAGGGTCTCTGCCACGTGTGACTGCACAGGTGGGGGAGGGTCTCTACCACATGAGACTGCACAGGTGGGTGACCTAGGAATGGAAGGGCTTCAGTGTGGTTTCTGTTCCAGGCTCCATCGTGTGGAGTACACTCAGCTTCAAGACGGCAGTGGTAAGGCCAGGCGTATGGTACACACCTCAGAGCCCAGCACTCAGAAGACAGGCAGGCAGGCGGGTCTCTATGAGTCTTGCCATGTAGAAAGACCCTGTATCAAAATAAAATAGAAGAAAATAGAAGAAAGACCTTGTCTCAACTGCCACCTACTCAAGAAAAAAAAAGGTGTGTTTTGAAAGTGGCTATTTAGATATTGACAAAGAGCCTCCTCCCTCTGCCGTTTCTGGGTAGGTTCCTAGTTTGCTCTTTAAGAAGAGCTGTAGTTTGACAGAGAAACCCTGTCTCAAAAAACAATAAAGGAAAAACAAAAAAGAAGAGCTGTAGTTTGGAGCCTCATGTCCTTAGTTTCTTGGTGTGTCAGTGATAGAATGTGCAAGGCCCGCTCCCAGCCCTTCCTCCCTCCCTCCCTCCCTTCCTTTCTTTTTTCACTTTTTTGAGACAGGGTTTCTCTGTGTCTCCCTGGCTATCCTGGAACTCGCTCTGTAGATCAGACTGGCCTTGAACTCACAGAGATCCACCTGCCTCTGCCTCCCTAGTGCTGGGAAGAGAGGTGTGTGCTGACACTGCACAGCCCCAGCCCCATTTCTAGAGCAAGGCTTTTAGTATCACTGGGAGCCGAGCATGGCAGCTCTTCCCTAAACCCCTCGCTCACTCACTCGGGGCCTCCTGAGGTATGTCTGCGGAGTGATCTGAGCAGGTAAACGAACTTCTAGACACTGTTTGTGGTGACATGTGCATTCTGGGTGACATGTGAGATTCTGGCTGTCACGGAGCTCAGGATGCATTTGAGTGGAGGAGAGAATGAGCCCATGGGAAGCTAGACCTGTAAGCACCGCAGTGCCACATGCAGGCTCCCTTCCTGCCAAGCCGTCCTCACATGACTCCCTGGGTTTCTGAACACGGGACTCATTGCTATCGGCACTTCCTCCTCCCACCGTTCCTCAGCAGGCTGCCTTGTCCCTAAGGAGGACTTCACCAGCGATAAGGACCTATGTGTCCTTGTGTCCCTGCTCATTGCGGGCTCCCCTCCATTCTCAGACCCTTGGGATACCTCGCAGTTCCCTGTCTTTTCAGAGCGTGCTATTCCTCACTGCTGACTGTAAACAGCTCTCTGGGTCCCTGAACTAGTGAACCAAGGCCTGTCCTGTGTGTCTGCACACCACTGCACCACCAGGCTGGTGTCCTGGACCCTCTGCAGGGTGCTGCTCACTCCCTGCCTGCTCTTCCCGCTGACCACGCTTTCAGATGGAAATGACCTGCAGTTTCACAAAGAGCAAAACAAACGTCATGATCCAGGAAAGCCAGGACTGAGTCGAGCTGTAGCCATACCCAGGCAGAGGGGTTGATCTGCTGTGTTCAGGGCTGAGGTCCCCAGCATTCAGGTGGGTGGGCCTGGCGGGGTGAGTGGCCTTTGCTTCCCAGCACGCTGGTGCTTTGGGGGCTGCACTTGGTTGCAGAAAGTCTAAGCAGCAAATGTATTTTCGTAACCAGTGTCATATGTTTCCTCCTGAAATCTGCTTTGGTTGTGGTTAATTAGAGACATTGCCATAACTCCCTTTCCCTATTTTTAGTTAAATCTTACAGAGGCTTGGCACCTGCCAGTCTTGTGTGTTATCTGTAATACCTTCTTCATAGAGGGCGGACGGCAGAGTAAGTGTGGGCTATCCCGAGCCTGGTTATTACCTCCAGCAGTGTCCGTAGTTCTCCAGTCTCTGATGTAGCTGCAAACATTTTCAGTCCCCTGGTCCCCTGGACTGGGTTTTTTCCGCCCGCCTGTTCCTGAAGTGGGTTAATTTAAGATGTAAGAGCTAGCTAGAGATACGCCTGAACAATGGGCCAAATAGTGTCTAATTAATATAGTTTCTGTGTGATAATTTGGGTCTCGGTGGCTGGGAAACAAAAGTATAGTTTCTGTTTACACTCTAGATTGCTGCAGAGTCAATGACATATGGTGCTTAGATACTTTTGTAGAGTTCATAAGTGATGTACAAGTCTTTCCCTGAATTTTTGTTTTGAGATCATTGTTGATTCATAAGATATTAAAATAATACTATGGTGAGCTCCTATGAGCTCTTCAGACATGTTTCCACCGTGGGAATGCCTTGCAGAATTACGGTCCATCAGTAATGTCAGGTCCCGCTTAATGTGCACGGGCAGCGGGCAGCGGCACCCTGACAGCCACGCCTTCTTCTCCACTTCCTAAAGCCCCTCCCAACCTTTGGTTTTCCGTTGCTGTAAGTTTATCTTTTCATGAGTGGTACAGGGCCATCATTAGTTACATAGTTAGTTTGAGGCCAGCCTGGGATACACGAGAGCCCAGTCTCAGCTCAAAGCAAACAGTTCAAGTGGATTCCTGTGGGTGTGGCTGTTTAGATTGTGGACAGTGTGTGTGCAACCGTAGGGCCATTCCTTTTCATGCGTGTGTGCTTTCTAGAGGACGTGGTAGTTGCTGCTTTGAGCTTGTATGTATATGGCCCTACTGGGCTGCTTCTGGGTCATATGGTGACTTCATGTTCAGGGTTCGGTTTTGAGAAACATGTCTGCTCTCCAGATTGGTGGCATCAATTTACATTCCTACCAGCGGTGTCTGAAGGTTCTTCTCTCCATGGCTTTCTTAGTATTAGCGTGTGCTGTTTGTGTCCATCTGATGGCACACAGTGTACGGCACGGTGGTGGTGGCCTGTGTCTTCCAGTGACTAATCTCTTTGCTTCCCGTTTTTGTGTGGGGCTGTCTGCATGTGTCTACGCTCCTTGCTAGCGCCTGCTTTTCCCTGTTTTTGAGATGATGTTGTCACTGCTTAGCCCAGTCTGTACAAGAACTCATAATCCTCCTGCCTCCACCTTTTATATGTTGGGATTCCTGGCATACAACATAATGCCTAGCTTTTGCTCATGTTCTGATTGGATTTTGATTATTGAGAGGATTTTTCTTTTGTTTTAGATCATGGAAAATATTTAACAAAAAAAGAGCATCCTAATTTTTTCCTTCCTTAGAATTTCCACACTTGTCAAAAATGGTTTAGGCAGAACCTGAGGCGCAGTTCAGTCAACCCTGAGGTGCTCAGCATGCGCTGCCCTGGGCTCATCCTCTCACCCAGAAGGAAGAGGGAGCGAGCTGGTGTGTCTGGGTCTGTCTGCCCACTGGTCTTCTGTCTCTCCCAGCAGCGCTGCATGACCCTGATGCCGGGCCGAGTAAATCCTCCCCGTCTGTTGTTAGCTGTGATGGTTCTTTTGCCTTCCACATAGATTCGAAAGTTGTCTTTCATTTAATAACTACAAAAAGAGCCTGCTGGGGCTTGGCACTGTGTTGGACTTGCATACCCATGTGGGCAGAATTGCCATCCTCACTCCGCCAAGGCTTCTAGTCCATGAACTTGGATCTTTCCCCGCTTCCAGAAGATCTGGTGTGCTGCAGGCTGTGAACAAAATGCTTTCTGTCTGAGGGCGCAGCAGTGACGGCTGCCATTTCTTTTCTATCACTGCCGTTTGTCCACAGGCCTATGAGAGGAGGTTCCCTACATGTCCTTTGATCCCAATGTTCGTGGACAGCGACACCGTGAGCGAATTCAAGAGTGAAGATGGGGCTATTCATGTCATCGAGAGGCGCTGCAAGCTGGATATCGACGCTCCCAGGCTGCTGAAGAAGGTACTGGTGACGGACACTTTACAGGCGGGTGGACCCATGCTCACCCAGAGCTGTTAGTAAACGCTTTTTCTTCTTGTCTCTTCTTAAAGATTGCAGGAGTCGATTATGTTTATTTTGTCCAGAAAAACTCCCTGAATTCTCGAGAGCGCACTTTGCACATCGAGGCGCACAACGAGACGTTTTCTAACCGGGTCATCATCCACGAGCACTGCTGCTACACGGTGAGTCGCGACCCCAGTCTCGGGCTCCGAGGCCATGTGCGACCACTGTTGAAACAGGACGGCTCTTGGTGTTTTCACCAGCTGCTGCTTCTCCTTTGGGATGAGCAGCACAGTTGAGGAGTGGTGTAGCATGCTGTATCCTTGTGACAGTCAGGGCTGCCAGCTGATGCCGTGACTGTTGTTTCTAAGGCAGGGACTCACTCTGTGCCTCTGTCTTGAAAGTTGCCAGGTAGACCAGAGTAGCCTTAACTTGCCACTCTCCTCTTGCCTTGTCTCCTGAGTGCTGGGTTATAAGTGTGCACCGTCGCACTCGGCTGAGTGCCGGATTGTAAGTGTGCACCATCGCACTCAGCTCTGGATTAGATTGTATTTTCTGAAGCAGGGTCTCACCGAGCAGCCCAGGCTGGCCTGAATTCATCCTGTAGCCCAGGCTGGACTGGGATTCACAGAGGCCTACCTGCCTCTGCCTCCCAAGAGCTCAGACTAAAGGCAAGTGAGTAGTACAAGGCCAGCTTCCTGACTGGTTTTAAGTATGAAGTTGTTTGTCTTTTTCCTGGCCCAGCTTCTTGACTCTAGGTGTGTGTTTGAAGCCAGGGTTTGAGTATCCTTGCGTGTAGGGCTCTGACCATCTGTCCGTTGTGGTCCTCACTGCATATACTTACTTCAGGAACTTTTTTCTCAGAGTGTGAGAGACGCCCTTCCTGGTCCTTGCTTTAGGGGTTAGCCTCCTGCCCTGTCCTCCACACAGGGTCCACGCATGTCACACTTGTCTTCCCTTGGTTCAAGCCCACAACCTCCTCTTGTGCAGAGGAGCCCAGAGCCCTCACAGTCACCTGTCTGTCCCTCCTTCCCACTCCATCATCGCACACTTACAATCCCTGCAGCCAGCCCTGTCCCTTCTCTAGCCTTCAGCCCCACAGGCCTTTCTCCATAGTGCTCCTGTGACCTTCCCACCTGTCTGTGGCTTATCTGTCTCTCCGGGAGCCCGAGCAGCACACAGTGTGGCTCTTTTTCTTTCTTTCTGTTTTTTTTTTTTTTTTTTGGTTTTTCGAGACAGGGTTTCTCTGTGGTTTTGGAGCCTGTCCTGGAACTAGTTCTTGTAGACCAGGCTGGTCTCGAACTCACAGAGATCCGCCTGCCTCTGCCTCCCAAGTGCTGGGATTAAAGGCGTGCGCCACCACCGCCCGGCGTGTGGCTCTTTTTCTGTCCATGTTCAGCATCACAGGAGCTGGGTGAGTGGATGAAGGGCTGGAGCTGAAAGGCTCTGTGTGTGTTTGTCACTTCCAGAAAGTTGTGAGGTTGTGATGAGGGCCTTGGAGTGTCCGAGTCCATCTGGGCAGTTTTCTGCCCTGCCTTTCTCCTTCCCCACGACAGTGACACCATTAAACTTGCTTCTTCTGGGTCCTGGTCAGCTAGCTGGGGAGCGGATGTGATGTCTCCATTGCTAGCGCGGTAATGGGATTGGGTTCTCTGCCTGCAGGTTCACCCTGAGAACGAAGACTGGACCTGCTTCGAACAGTCTGCAAGTTTAGATATCAAATCCTTCTTTGGTTTTGAAAGTACAGTAGAAAAAATTGCCATGAAACAATATACCAGCAACATTAAAAAAGTGAGTGTCTTTGTTGGGATTTTATGGAAAAGGAGGCGGCAGTCTCTGAGAGAGTGACCACAGTCTGGTTGACTTTTAGCTTACTGTTTGCTTGTTGAGACAAGATCTCCCTAGTTCACGCAAATTCCCAATTCTCTTGCTTCAGCCTCCCATGTGTCCGGGTTACGGGTGTTTCCACTGCTCTCAGAATTATTTGGGGGTGAACAGGTGAGGGGTTGGGGGATTGAACTCACTTGGGGTCATGTGTGTGCTAAGTTAGCATTCCGCCACAGAGCTGTGTCCACAGCCCCCAGATTCTGGTTTGGGGAATGTCTTAGAAGCTGGTGAGGGTAAGATGTCTGGGTGGTGGACGCATGCTCACAGGATACCTGTCTTGTCTCGAAGGGGAAAGAAATCATTGAATACTACCTGCGGCAGCTGGAGGAGGAGGGCATCACCTTTGTGCCCCGGTGGACCCCGCCCTCTCTGCAGCCCTCGTCAGAAACACTGTCGTCAAGCAAGAGTCAAGCCACATCTTCCGCTGTCCTTGTCCCAGATGCTGCTGCCCTCAAGGAGGGGCTGAGTGGGGAAGGCATCAGCAGCCCAGGCCCAGCATCTGAGCCTGTGGTAGGAACCCCTGACGGTGAGCCTGGCACAGTCTGGGGACACGGGACCTCTCTCCTCCCCACGGCTCTGTCCGTGACTGTGTTTCCTGAGCCTCCCACTTAGAGAGCACATCTGTTTTATTCTTGTTCGTTAAATGGAAGTTATTTCTAGTTGTCCACTGATTTGGACCAGGAAGTGTTTTCCTTGTGTTTTGATTGATGATAGTGACAGCGTTTTCGTCACTCAGGTCCTGTGCCTCCTCTGCGCAGCTCCCACTCTCAGCCCCAGGGACCAGTTGGCTGCCTCAGTTCATGTCTACATTTGCTGGGCACAGCGCAGTTGAGTGGTCACACAGCTAGTGACAGGGCTGGGCCAGGGTTTGTGTGCAGTTTTCTGTGTGCTAAGCACATATATAAAAACACAAGTTTTTAATTTCTAGTTATAGAAAGTTTAGAAAATAGGGGAGGAATCAGAAAACATTGTTAAGATAATGGTGTCTATCATTCTTTCGTTCTGCTTGCCTTTGGACAGTCAGCTGGGGAGAGAGTCGGGGCTGTGCGTTTGAACTTAGGCCCTGTGTTGAAGATGAGTGTACATTGTATCTATTAAGCCATCAGCCTGTCCTTGTAGTACTGAAATTACAGGCGGAGGAGGCTCGGAACCTGCCTGTGTTTATCGGGGATCTGATCTTAAAGACTGCTTACTTACCTGTGGTTATCAGTGATGCCTCCCTAAAGGCTGCCCAGGACAGTTGCTGCCTTGCCCCGCCCCCACTCCAGCCTCACTGAGAGAAGGGTTCTTTCTCTGTGGAAATAACGCCATGTACCTTAAATTCCAGACAAGCTGGATGCCGACTACATCAAGAGATATTTGGGTGACCTGACCCCGCTCCAGGAGAGCTGCCTCATCCGACTGCGCCAGTGGCTCCAGGAGACGCACAAGGGCAAAGTGAGTGCTGGCTGCCGTCAGCACTGCTGACTGCGGATCCTGCAGTCTCTGGTCTCACTGGAGGCTACAGAGTAAAGATCTTGCCATGTCTGTTGACCTGTTCCTCCCACCCGAAATACCACGAGTGTGTCTGTGGCACCAGATCCTCATGGCAGGCTTAAGATGCCTTTCACAAGCCGGGCGGTGGTGGCGCACGCCTTTAATCCCAGCACTCGGGAGGCAGAGGCAGGCGGATCTCTGTGAGTTCAAGACCAGCCTGGTCTACAGAGCTAGTTCCAGGACAGGCTCCAAAGCCACAGAGAAACCCTGTCTCGAAAAACCAAAAAAAAAAAAAAAAGATGCCTTTCACACGCGGGTAGCTATGTTCCTTGCGTTTCACAGAGAAAGGTCTAGCTTAGAACCCATGACATGCCAATCAGTAGAACATAGTGTCTGTCTGTGTTGAGGAGCTGGAGCGTGTTTTAAAGTGCTGGCCTTGGGGCTGGAGAGATGGCTCAGTGGTTAAGATCATTGCCTGTTCTTCCAAAGGTTCTGAGTTCAATTCCCGGCAACCACATGGTGGCTCACAACCATCTGTAATGAGGTCTGGTGCAGAGTATTGTATACATAATAAATAAAAAAAAAAAGTGCTGGCCTTATCATACAAAGAAATCCTCTTCTCCGTGACACTCTAATACACGCATGTCATTATACTTAGTTATTCAGGAGAATGTCGCCTGCCCTCCCATCACAGTGGAGCTTTGATTCTGAGATTGGGGGAGACCCTAGCCCCACAGGAGTGAGGTTTATGAAAAACAGGCCAGATAAAAGGAGCTGGGCATCATGTGTGGCTCGCTTGGTCCCGTGGGCCTGGTTGCCTGGGTTTACAGCTGCATATCGCCAGTTGTTATGGAAGCAGCCACAGAGGAGCAGCTGCCCTGGACAGCTGTGTAGTGGCTGCTCCAGCTCCTACTGCCCTGTGGTCTAAGCAGCCAGGCAGTGGAGGGCTCAGGCAAGTAACTGAGGCCTTGGGGCTGCTTCCACCTTACTTTGCTCAGCTGAAGTCGGGACAGATTTTCCCAGTTCTGCTTTTTTATGGCACCAGTGATGACTTTTCTGGCACCTTTTTTGGTGGCACAAGGGATGGACCTGCTAGAAAAGCTTTCTACTCCAAGCTGTGCTCAACCGAGGAATGCTGCTTCTTGGCATTGTGGACAGTGTGGCTCACTGTTGGCAGTAGGTAGGTGTCTTAAGTAGGGTTTCTGTTGCTCAGAAGAGACACCATAACCATGGCAACTCTTATAAAGGAAAAACATTTAATTAGGTGGCTTATAGTTTCAAAGGTTTAGTCCATTATCATCATGGTATCACATGGAGTTCAGGCAGACATGGTGCTGGAGAAGGAGCTGAGCTGAGAGTCCTACATCTTGATCCATAGACAACAGGAAGTGAACTGTCTCACTGGGTGTGGCTTGAGCATATATGAGACCTCAAAGTCCATCTCCACAGTGACACACTTCCTCCAACAAGGCCACACCTCCCAGTAGTGCCACTCTCTATAAACTTATGGGGCCAATTACATTCAGACTACCACAGTAGGTAGACTTTCCCCCAGCACCTCCCACATAGCCTGGAAATATCTCTTCTCCTAGATCCCGAAGGATGAGCATATTCTCCGGTTTCTGCGTGCCCGGGATTTTAATATTGACAAAGCCAGAGAGATCATGTGCCAGTCTCTAACTTGGCGGAAGCAGCACCAGGTGGATTACATCCTGGACACCTGGACTCCACCCCAGGTCCTTCAGGATTACTACGCTGGAGGCTGGCATCACCATGACAAAGGTGGGGCGAACCTGACATGGTCACAGCTCTGTGCTTGTGTCACCCTATACCACGGGACTGGCTGGTGTAGTTAGAAGCCCATTCACCCAAGTCTGGACAGCCAGATTGGGACGTGGTGTGAGGGCCTTACCTTCCATTCTCAGGAGAGCACTGCAGGATATGGCACAGCTCAGTAGCACAGTAGACAGAGCTGCCTGCCCAGTCTCCTGCTGCAGACGGTGCAGAAGGGCTCACTGAGGGCCGAGGCCCAGCACCAGGGCATGCCAGCCACCCCTGGAACCTCCCCCAGCCCCTCACTCGCCTCAGCCTTGTGGGAGGATACGCTGTGTCGACTGACCTCTGGTTGCTGACCTAGAGCCTGCCAGCTGTGCAGGGTGGCACTGTGCTCACGCAGATGTGACAGGATACTAGAAAATGTGCCCCTCCCTCCGCTGAACATGTCCTTTCAGATCAGCAAGTCCTAAAAACTTGTTTTTTACTTTGGGAATGTAGGTCTCCAGATTAATTGTAGCTTTATTAATTTTTGCTTTTGTTTTTATTTTTTGGGATAAGGTCTTGTACTGTAGCCCAGGCTAGCCTTAAACTCTCTTAAATAGCTAATAGGAGCTTTTAACTCACCTTTTGATTTTGTTTTCAATATTGTATATAATTGAGTAACTTCTGGGTTTGACATTGGGTCTCTTTATGTAGCATAGGCTAACCATGAACTCTAGATCCTCTTACATTAGGATCCTGAGTACAGAGACACAATACTGTGTACTTTGATGTCCATTACTTTATTAATTTTTGCTGAAAATGTAATATTTATTTTTATTCCACTTTGTGGCTCAACTCTTGAAGGTTAAAAAGTTTTGGTAATAAGATCTTGACAGACCAGCTGTGATGCCTCATGCCTCTAGTCCATCATTTAGGAGACAGGCAGGCAGGCAGTGAATCCAGTCTGGACAACACAGTGAGTTCCAGGTTAGCCAGAGTTACAGCTGAGACCCTGTCTCAAACAAAAGATTTTTTTTTTTTTTTAAAAAAAAAGTGTTTTACTAAATGTCAGTAGAGTCAGGTGTGGTGAGGTTTGTAATCCCACCCCTTGAGAGGCAGAGGCAGGCTGATCTCTGTGAGTTCGAGGTCAGCCTCATCTCTGGAGCAAGTTCCAAGCCAGCCAGAGCTACAGGTAATGGGCTGCAGGTGATGTTCCCCAGGGGTCAGGTGTTGGTCCCAGGCAGGATGACAGCCGACCTGGTGTGTTGAGGTTGCTGGCCTGGGTCCAGGGTCACGAGTGTAGGATGTGCTCTGGCCTGCGGTTGTCTCTGCTCTGGTGGGTGATGACAGATTCTATCATGAGTTAGGTGGTCTGTTCACTGACCCTCTGGGCTAGGGAGCCATACACCCAGCACGTGTTGGTTGTGGTACTTAGTGGGTTTCCAGATGTGTGTCCTTAGGAAGGAAGGCTGACTTTATAAAAATCTTGACAATAACTTCTTAATAATTTATGGAAAAATTGTTTCATAATTTAAAAAAGCCTCTGTGTTCATAGAAAATATGTGGCTATGCTGACATCCCCTGCGGTGAACACTGAACTCAGCAGCAGCCATGGTCATTCATGTCGGGGAGCCAGGCGGCTGCACCCAGCTCAGTCCCACTTGGCCTGGCCCAGCCCAGCCGTGTGGGCCCAGGTCCTGTCCGTTGCTATCAGCTGACTTGGTTGCCCCTCCCCGTGGCATCCTTACACAGAAGCTAGTCTCCCTTTGCTCCTCAGAGTAGGCTAGGGCTCCACGTGTTTTCTTGCTTATCTCAAGCAGGAGCACAGAGCACGCTTCCCTGGGCAGCCTTTTTGTGCTATGCCAGGGACAAATACAAGGTCTCACAGGAGGAACCTCTGGTATGGAGCTGCTCCTTGGCCCTTGTGAATCCTCTCAGAGCCATGCCCTGCCACTCACCCCAGCCTCCTCCTTGCCTCTCTGCAGACGGGCGACCGCTGTATGTGCTCAGACTGGGGCAGATGGACACCAAGGGCTTGGTGCGAGCCCTCGGAGAGGAGGCCCTGCTGCGATACGTGAGTGTTATGGGGAACACTGGGCTGCATGCTGGCTTCATGCTTGCTACCAGCAGGACTGGGGCGTTGTAGCTGGCTACTGGGACAAGTACGCATGCTCTACGCTTAGGGAGATGTGTTCTGCACAAAGGCTTCTGAGGAGGACGCACAGCGCAAACCCCAGGAGACAGTTCCCACTTCACACCTCCTGCCAGATCTCTTTCTGTTGACCCTTCCCTTTTACAGGCTGATGGCCTCTCTCTTAGGCTGCTGAGCCATCAGCTGATTCCAGGCCACCCCTGTATCTCCCCAAATCTGCTGCACCCCTGGCCCAGAGAAGAATCTGTTTTTTCAGTTTGAAAACAAACTAAGACATAAAAAACCAAATCCCATCTCCCCCAGTATTTATACCTCTTGTTTTGATGTGTATTCTTTTAGGTGCCTGTGCCCCAGCCATGTGTGTTTTTATGTGTGTGTGTGTGTGTGCGCGCACACACACACACAGACACACACACACACTTACTGCTCTACCCAAGAATTCTTATACCCCCCCCCCCCAGCAGCTGTTTTCCCTGCCTCTGTCTTGGCTGATATGGGGAGACTAGGGTGTACCCACACTCCTCACCCATCTCCTCCTGTCCAGAATAAGTCTGTCTGCAAACACCCCCATGTCAGTTCTCCCTGCTCAGGTGACTCTGAACTGGTGTTTTCTTTGGCCTGCCTGCTTTCTCCTGTTGATGCTGCTGTTTACTCTGCAAGTGAAGCAGTCATTGTTGCCTTGTGAGGTGTGAAGAGGTGCCGTGGCCGTGTGTGGCTGTGTCTTGCTGCCTTAACCCCTCTGTTAAGTTTGATGTTTCTTTGCCTTTGGACTGACCCTGGCCATCGTCATTTGCTTACAGGTTCTTTCCATAAACGAAGAAGGCCTAAGACGATGTGAAGAAAATACCAAAGTCTTCGGCCGGCCGATCAGGTTGGTGGGGCCTTATCTCCGTCCATATAAAGAACAGGAACTAAGTTCTTTTAGTTGATCTTTGGCACCACAGCCTGATAGCTGACTGTTTCCAAGCAGTCTGGAAGGTTGGAAAACAAGTGATAAGGTCAGTCCCAGGGACAGTGCCAGGATCTCATATCTGTCAGCCCTGAGTTGCCGCTCTGTGGTCCTAGGAGTCAGGACCACGTGTGGTTTGCCCGTTGGACTTCTTCCTCCCACCCCCAGTTCTTCCTGATGAACCAGCTTCTAATTGTGGAATACTATTCTGAAAACGGGCAGAGAAAACTTTTAAAAGAAAAACACTTAGAAAAGCCAGGCATGATAGGTCACTCCTGTAATCCCAGCACTTGGGAAATGAGGCAGGAGGATAAGAGTTCAAGGCCAGCTTCAGCTTTGTACAATTCAACACCAGCCAGAGCTTCATGAGATCCTGTCTCGGGTTGAACAGCGTCGGTTCTGCCGGGCCAGGGTGTTCAGGGTCCTGTTCACAGTGCCTGTCAGTTCCGGAGGCGGCGCTGTACCTGCGAGTACGGTCGTCCTTGCAGTTTACACTCCGTGTGTCAGTGCCAAGTGTCTGCCTTGGTGACAGGCTGGGGAGGCAGCATCAGGATGCTCAGCACTGAGCAGGTCTGAGGGGGCCTTTTCAGAGCTGGGGTCTCATTAGCCAGGCTGTCCTTGAACTCCTGATCCTCCTGCCTCTGCTTCCTGAGCCTTGGGGTGTCAGCGGTTCATAGACTCACTATGCTCTGTCAGGACTTGACCTTGTGGGTCAGGCTTTGCTCCTGTCACTGCCAGTCTGTGCTTCATGCTCGCAGATAAGAGTGTGTGGTTATATCAAAAGAAGAAAATGAAATAGGACGCCATTTGCCAAGTTACCATCTGTTACTAAGACACATCTTGGTATTATCTAGCTCCTGGACCTGCCTGGTAGACCTTGAAGGACTGAACATGCGCCATCTGTGGAGACCTGGAGTCAAAGCTTTGCTGCGCATCATCGAGGTGGTGGAGGCCAACTACCCGGAGACGCTGGGCCGCCTGCTCATCCTCCGAGCCCCCAGGGTCTTCCCTGTCCTCTGGACACTGGTGGGTTTAGATGCTGTTCTGTAGCCATCGGGGCATACTCAGTACCTGCTTCCCACTGAGGTCTCAGCTAGGCAGGAGAAAGCAAATAAACCCAGATATAAAGTGCTTCTGATTCTTTAAGAGGGAAACAGGGGCGGGATTTCCCCGAGGGTCCTAGTGCTTTGCCAGGGATGTCACAGAGTGTCTGAGAGCTGCGACCCACCCACTACCTCACCCATGCGTGCTGTTGTGGTGCAGGCTTGATCCCCTGAACCGCGCAGCAGATGACGTCACTGTTTTGTCTGATTGGTTTCAGGTTAGTCCATTTATTGACGACAACACAAGAAGGAAATTCCTCATTTATGCGGGAAATGACTACCAGGGCCCTGGAGGCCTGCTGGATTACATCGATAAAGAGATAATTCCAGATTTCCTGAGCGGGGAGTGCATGGTACGTATTGGGCAAGCACCCATGCCAGGGCCAAACACTTGTTTGCACTGAAGGTTTTCTGAACTGGGTGGCTGCTGGTTTTGCTTGGTTGAAATAGACTAGGCCGCTGAGGAGTCTGTTGCTGACGTGGTACATTAACATTCAGGAGCATGTTACAGGGTCCGATGCCCTGCAGCTGCCTTTATTCACGCAGCCTGTGTAAAACACATCTTGACTCTTCAGAGAAGCTGTACGTGTTTCAGAACTACATTTTTTTTTTTAACTTATCTCTGTGTGATGTGAGCATGTAGGCCCGAGATTGACCCAGTTGGTCTCCGTCTTGTTAACTGAGGCAGGGCCTCTCATTTGAACCCAGGACGCACTAATCAGGTGAGTCTGTCTAGCCAGCATGCTCCAGGGTCCCTCCCTCCCACCTCTCAGGAAGTGGAGTCCAGCAGAGACGCTGGGCATCCAGACTCGGTCCTCAGTTGCATGACAACTGCCTCACCTATTGGCCATCTGCTCAGCCTTAAAACACCTGTGAGATGGAGAATCGACTCCCAAGACTGTTTCTCCTTTCCTTAAGTAAACCCACATAATACTCAAAGTTGAAAATAGAGGAATTGCTTCTCTCCTTTGTAGGTTGGAGTGTTAAGGGAATGAGGTATGGATAGTTAAGCAGACACTGCTGGCCTGCCCTGTGCTGGGTGCAGGAGTTTGATGCCAGAACATGGAGGTCGCGCCCAGAAGCCTGACGTGAGGGTTCAGGGAACAGAAGCCACAGAGACAAGTGCCTGGCTCCATGACACACAGTAGCAATGGAAGCAGCGGGGGTCAAGTTCTTAGCAGGCTCTTGTCATACTTGACCCCAATGGGGGTCTTCTGAGGTGTGTGTCCTGGAATTGTCTGGCTGTGAAGAGTTGAGCTTTCAGTGTGGTTTTTCCAAATGGCCGGAGGAATTTAGGAAACAGAAGGGCTGAGCTTTGGCTTTGAGGGAGATTGACGGTGCCATCGCAGTACAAAGAGCACGTAGTTGCGACCAGAGTGATCCCAAGCAAGGTTAAAGCATGAGCCAGGCTGTGGTAGCCATGAGTGCTGTCAGGACAAGAATTGAATTGGGGCAGAAGGCTCAGCGCCCTACTGTCAGTATTTACTGGTGCTGTGATGTGCTCAGAGTCAGGCTAAGGCCTCCCGAGGCCCGCTCTCAACTCTCCCCAGTGGCTCCTCAGGCTGCCTGTCAAGAGTCGTTCATGAATTCTGTTGACTTCCCTGTGGGCAGGGGTATTGAACTTTGGGCCAGGCTAGTGTGTGTTTGTTTTCCTTTGTAGTCTCATTAGGTAGCTACGCTGGCCCTGAACTCACAACCCTCCCGTCTCCACTCCCTCAGTGCTTTAGAGCAGGCCTCACTAGTAGCCTGTCCACACCACCGTCTGTGACCTTGGGTGACTGCAGGGACCTCCCTGCTGCTGCTGCTGTGCTACAGGCTGAGAGCTGCAGTTTTGCTCTCTGTGGAGTTACTTCCGGGTTGATCATCTTGGAAGCGCTTAGATTTCATGCACTTGTATGCGAGTTTGCTCTATTAAGGTCAGCTAGAGAATCTACAGTGAGAGTAGCTTCAGAGTCAGCCCAGCTTTTTCAAGTCAGTTCAGGTAATGGTCTTTTGTCAAGTTTTGGCTGATTCATTAATTGTTTGACCAAGGTTACATAGGGAGCTTGCTTTAGCGTATCTTGATTTCCTTCCTTCCCTTTTTGTGGTGGTGAGGATGAACCCTGGAGCCTGGTGTGCATTAGGCTGTGCCGCTGGGCTGTGCCCCGAGTGACTGTGGTTTCTGTGGGTGGCTGTTGGGAATGGATCTCTGCTCAACTGTTCGCGCTTCTTTTCCAGGGCGCTGTAAAGTCTAATACTCGAGTTCTGTCCCTCACGCATGTTAGTGTGAATCCCGTGCTAAACCAGCTGCAGCTAGTTCTCATTTATCCAAAGTAAAAACACTTGGATCTAAGTGGGCTGCACAAATATTTTGCTAAGTACTACAGAGTATTTGATAACATTGCCAGTGTCCTCCATAACCCAGCTGCCTCAGGAGGTGGGCATGTGGGATGAGGGGCTGCCTGGCCTCTACACGTCTCTCACTGCCATATTTTCCTTTCTAGTGTGATGTACCAGAGGGTGGACTGGTCCCCAAATCTCTGTACAGGACTGCAGAGGAGCTGGAAAATGAGGATCTGAAGCTCTGGACAGAGACCATCTACCAGTCTGCCAGCGTGTTCAAAGGAGCCCCGCATGAGGTGCCCACCTTCAGCTTCTCCCACCTACCACCGGACAGGCAGCACTTCCCTTAGGGTCCTTGGCTCCTTTGTCTGGTCTTGGCTTTAGGTTTTGTTGGCACTGGTGTTGGGAAATGGCAGCACTGAAGGGCAGAGCTGCCTCAGGATGCTGCTGTCTGACCAGAGTGAACCTTGAAAGCTCATTAGCCCATCGACTGCTATTTCCCTGAGATCCTTGACCCCGTGCAGAACAGGTCTTGCCTGGGGAGGGCTGTTTCCAGCTCCTGGATTTGGTTTGATGGTTTCATGGGACAAGTTTTGCTCGATAGTTTTTCTTGACTGGGTTCTGGTCATTTGTCTTTCTTGCAGTCTTTGCTGGCTTTTGTTGCTCTGAAGGGACTGCCAGGAATGAGAAATGAGCGCATCTTCTTTCCCTTCTTTCCAGCATGGGGTGTGGTGGCTAGGGTAGAAGCAGCAAAGCTCCTGTTTGGCAGGCCCTCCCCGTCCCTGTGGCGTGAGCATGGCTCCCCCGTCCCTGTGGCGTGAGCATGGCTCCCCCGTCCCTGTGGCGTGAGCATGGCTCCCCCGTCCCTGTGGCGTGAGCATGGCTCCCCCGTCCCTGTGGCGTGAGCATGGCTCCTCCGTCCCTGTGGCGTGAGCATGGCTCTCCCTGTCCGTTGGCATGAGCATGGCTGGCCCACCCTTTGCTTAGCTCTAGGCACGCATGTTGCTGTGTTCTTGGTGGGAGGCAGCACTTATACAGAACAGACCCCTCCGTCCATGGAGTGCTGGCTCCATGGATGGCTTTCTGCTGTGGCAAGCCTCTGTTCAGCTGCCGGGTGCTGTCCAGACAGCCGACTGATAGATACATAGAGGCACACTGAGAGTGAGCCTGGGGCTGTGCTGTGAACGAGCAGGCACAAATCCAGTGTGCCTCCCTCCCTCATGATCCCATGCAGGGGACCTTGGATGTTTGGCTGTCCCAAGAATCATTTGCCTTCATCTCTCATGTGGTGGGCAGGCTGGGGTGGATGAGCTGTTTACCAGGCAGCTGTCAGTCTTGTCTTTGTTGCAAGGCTCAGGGACTCACTGTGGCTTGAGTCGCATAGCACCTGTCAGTGTTGACAGTAAAAGCTCCATTCTGCCTTGGGGTGTAAAGAATACTGCTTAGAGTGTCCCCATTGCCGGTCGGCACAGGGCCCACGGTCTCTTGAAAGAGTGCTCTTGACAGCCACTCTGACGAGGAGAATATGCTGCCCTCTTTAGTGCAGCCTCTGCTTTGACTGGGGCCCTGTGCCTTCAGAGGGTCATGGACGGGTTGGAGGAGCAAGGCAGCAGACTGCATGGCTGCTTCTGCTTTGTAGCCTCACACCTTCCTCCCAGACCTGCCTCTTCCCTCTGGGACTTGAGATGAAGGATAGATGTCAGGCTTGGGATTGGCACTCTGTACCGACGGCAGTCACCCCCAGAGCACATCTGATCTCTCCACCCCATTGCATGCCTTGCGCCGGCATGAGGCTCTACCAGGGCGTCCTTCTGCCCATGTCCTCTTCTGTAGGGCCTGCCATGTCTCCCTAGCTGGAGGCAGTTCATGGAATCCCATGTCCGTGCTCACGAGCGTCCCTAAGCTGTGTTGGAAGATGAGGAGTGGGACTCTTCAGAGTCCACATGGAACTAGCCATTTGCCTCATCGGTTACACATAGTCGGAACTAGAGAGAGCAGTGGGTAGGCTGGTGGTGGGCATCTGGATGCCTAAGTGCCCTGAGGCAAAGAGAACTGCCCACTTGATCTGTCCTGCCCCTTTGCCAGCTCACACATCTGAGCCATAGAGCCAGCCCCTAGAGCCATTCCTGCTCCAGCTGAGGCCAGGCCTCGTGCTGTGGATTGCTGACTGATGGGATCTCTTTCTCCAGATTCTCATTCAGATTGTGGACGCCGCCTCAGTAATCACCTGGGATTTTGACGTGTGCAAAGGGGACATTGTTTTTAATATTTATCACTCCAAGAGGTCTCCCCAGCCACCCAAGAAGGACGCGCTGGGGGCCCACAGCATCACCTCTCCGGGTGGGAACAACGTGCAGCTCATAGACAAAGTGTGGCAGCTGGGCCGGGACTACAGCACGGTGGAGTCGCCGCTGATCTGCAAAGAAGGAGAGAGTGTGCAGGTGAGCCGCCATCTGCCGCCCCGCGTCACTGTCCGCCCAGCTGGGCCTGCTCAGTCAGACCCTGTAAGGTGCCCGGGCACAGTGGAAGGTCTGAGACCAGAGCAGTGAACCTAGTGAAATGAGTGGATTTCCCAGGACTGTCTGCACCCAGGTGCCACGAGAAACTCAGGAAAGAAATACTTTGTAGGCACACATCCAGGTCTCAGTGACCTCACTGAGTGGACTCGGCATGGCTTTGCCTCAGAGGAAGAGACCAGGCAGAAGCAAGAGAGGAGCGAGGCCACTACAGCTCTTGCTAGGACACACGACAGCTCTGTACTGTGCTGGGCTGGTTCCTGTTGTCCCTGGCGGGCCTCTCCCTTCCTGCTGGCTCCCGCAGCGCCTCTCGTAGTAAATGCCTGCCTTCCTCCCACACTCCCACAATGCCTCTGCCTCACACCGTGGCTGCCTGCTTTCCATCCCTGTATGGTTTGCAAATGCAAGCTGCCTGCACATCCGTGGTCTTGAGGCAGCTTGGAAGGGAATCCTCCCCCATCTTAAGGTAGGGAGCCTTTGAAGCTGGCTCTCTGAGTCTCCATCCGGAATGGAAGGAGTCACTGGAACAGATTGCCGGGTGTGACTGGAGTGTGGCCTTGACATCTCTGTCCAAAACACAGGCCCACCTGACAGCCACCGCCCTGTCAAGCACCTGCTGCCTAGTGGTCTCAAGAGGCTGCAGGTTGCTGAGGGCAGCAAACGTGTTGTGTGCTGCCTTCCCAGCACCTGGCAAAGGCCTCAGCACAGGCTGCATCCAGTAGGTAGAAGGACGTTGCCAGGCTGTTTCCTGATGGCGAGCTCTCAGGACAACCCTCCCCTTGAAGCTTGTCAGACCTGTTTGAAGGTTGGCAGGATGTCCTGAGCTCCCCTGCTCTCTGCTGCAGGGCTCCCATGTGACCAGGTGGCCGGGTTTCTACATCCTGCAGTGGAAGTTCCACAGCATGCCAGCGTGTTCCGCCACCAACCTCCCCCGAGTGGACGACGTGCTGGCCTCCCTGCAGGTCTCCTCCCACAAGTGCAAAGTGATGTACTACACAGAAGTGATCGGGTCCGAGGATTTCAGGTGTGTGTGTTGGGGTGGGGGTGGGGGGCTGCCTGGTCCCTATCTGGGCTCTGTGGGACTGTCGGAGAGGAGTGCAGTGGCGTCTGGACAAACCACAAGGCGTGCATTCCTCCCATGGGACATTCATGCCCCATTCCTACTTGGCAGGTGCTAGTGCAGAAAAGCAGATAGAGATGAGCCTGGGTCCAGCAGGCATTGTGGGCATCTGGGTGGCTCAGGGCAGTTCCTCACTCCTTGTTCTTTCTTGGTTTCTTTGCAGAGGCTCCATGACCAGCCTGGAGTCCAGCCACAGTGGGTTCTCACAGCTGAGTGCCGCCACCACCTCCTCCAGCCAATCACACTCCAGCTCCATGATTTCCAGGTAGTGCTGCGAAGCCAGTGCCTAGTGCGGAGGGACGGAGGACACCTCGGCCTCCTCGGCTGCTGTGCTCCACCCACCCCAGGATGCGCAGACTCCTCACCCTCTAGATAGCAGCTAGCTCTCCAGATGGTATACTAGCACTTGGTCCCAGACTATCATGGCAGGTAGCTTTAATTCTACCCTAAGTTTAACTCAGTAGCCATAGATTTTGTATGCAGTGTGCACAAAATCAAACCAGAGCACAAGGGCTCTCGAGAGAAAGGTAGTTTATCTACAGTAAGAGACTGACTGGTCTCACATGTCGATGCAAAACGTTTTTCCAACAAACTCCACCTTGTCCACTAGCGAATGACTTGTATGACATCCTGCAGAGACGAGCCGCCTCCTCCACGGAACTGAAGCTGCAGCAGGCAGCCCTTACACTGCGCCGGAGTCCTCGTGGCTCACTGTTAGTGGAGGTGGCCTGTGGATTCAGGACAGCCCTTGAGGTCCCTTTCCTCTGAGGACTCAGCAGCCTACAGGAGCACCCGGTCCTGGGGTGGAGCCAGCCCACTCCTAAGCAGACACGCTGCCCAGGAGGGGCTCTCAGACTCCCGACAACACCGCCATCATTAAACATTGCTTTCTTTTTCCTCCTCTTCAAATCTTTTGATATTTTTCAGAGCAAAATTTTTCTGTCCATGAACTTGGGGAAGGGGAGGGTTCTATTCTCCGCTGAATGCTGTTTTTCCTCCCGCAGGTGGGCAGCTCTGTGCCCGCCAGTACCTAGGGTCCTCAGCCCTCAGCACCCAGGATCCCTAGTCCTTAGCACCCACCCAGGGCCTTCAGCCCTCAGCACCCAGGGCCTTCAGCCCTCAGCACCCAGTGTCCTCAGCCCTCAGCACCCAGGGCCTTCAGCCCTCAGCACCCAGGATCCTCAGCCCTCAGCACCCAGGGCCTTCAGCCCTCAGCACCCAGGGCCTTCAGCCCTCAGCACCCAGGGCCTTCAGCCCTCAGCACCCAGGGTCCTCAGCCCTCAGCACCCAGGATCCTCAGCCCTCAGCACCCAGTGTCCTCAGCCCTCAGCACCCAGGGTCCCTACCCCCATAGCTCCCAGGATCCTCAGCTCTCAGCGGGTGTTGGAAGTAGTGGGTGACACTTCCTTCTGGAAGTGTGGCAAAAGAGACTCCAAGAATGCTCTCCAGGGTGGCGCATGGCTTGTAGTGGCCTTGGGCATGTGATGGGTGTTGGGGTGTGTGCAGGTGCCATTTGTGTGCATGAGGGACAGGGGGTGGGGTGGGGGAGCATGGTGGGACTTAATTTGTTTTATCAGCATTTTATAGAAGCAGACCAGAGGCTGGCTGGCTTTGTCTTTTTCTTTCTGATCCCCACTTCCCAAAGCCTGCTGTCTGAGCAGGCCCTGACTTCACAGCTTTTATGGGAAAGCTTATTGCTTACAGAGCTGTCTGGAAGTTGCAGGTGGCTGATCTCCATGAGAAGGGCCTGGGGTGTGTGTGTGTGTGTGTGTGTTAAACGTGTCTAAAGATGGGTGCCAAACCCACATGGCCGTGAATGTGTACGACAGGTGTGGAATCATGTGTTGATGCCGCTCGGAGGCATAGATGGATGTCTGTGAGCTTTGTAGAGGCTGTGGCATGTCAGCAAGCACGAGGAGAGTCTCCACAGCAGCCTGGCTTGGCCAGTGAGCCTGCTGGCTCCCAGCACTCGTGTTGCTGGCCTCTGTGGCCCTTCGCCATGCATTCCCTGTGCATGGGGCAGCCATTTCTAGACAGCATAGTAGGGCTATAGTTACTACGTCCACGCTGCTTCCAGTTAGGGCTTCCCAGCTCCAAGTTAAAGGACCTGAAGATGGCCCTGCTCTCTCTTTCTCTCCTGTCTCCCTCTCCCTTTCCCTCTCTCTGTGTCTCAGATGGCGATTTTGCTGACAGCCTCCAAGAAAACGCTTCACGCGACAGTCCACATGTGCCCAGAGATGCTTGTGGGACTGTTTGAGTTGCAGCCATGTCTCAGGCTGAAGATCTGTCCCCTTAGTCCGTTCAGAAGTGGCCCTGCTCAGCGCCTCAGAACTGAGCTGAACGCATGACCACACACTCACAGGCCTCTAGCCCCAGGCCACAGGGCACTGGCTGCCTTGGGAGGGTGACTGGGTGTGTGAGTGTGTGCCGTTCACGTGTCCTAAAATGCTGCTGTCTCGCCCTCCCACCCAGTCCCAGCTCTCTGGGTTCTCCCTCTGTTACTAGTGTCTTAATTCTCTCTCCTTCCTGAACCCACTATTTGCATATCAGATTCTGTAAATGTTTTATAAACATATTACCTCACTCTTGGTAATACAATATTGATAGTCTTTAAAAGATTTTTTATTGTTACAGTAATAAATGTGAACTGTTTAAGAGGAGCGTCCTTTTCTTCTTGGAAGTCTTTGCAGGGTATTAAGATTTGGGGCGAGAAGAGGCTCGCTGATGCCCACAAGCAAGGGAGGCCAAGCTGCTGAGTGGATGCAGCGGTCACTCTGTGCCCCTCAAGGTCCTGCTGTGCCCTTTGCAGTTCAGCATATCAGATGTGACTGGCACAGCCTGGCTCCCTCTGTCCTCACACTTGTTAGTGGCAAATGGATTTCTCGGGGCAGTACCTGGGGGGGCCTGGGTGACCTAATCTTTACTCTCCTGTCTCAGGTCTGCAGAGGCAGCAGAGCTCCGGACAGCAGGGCACACACAGCTCAGGAGGTCATCACAGGCATGCCAGGGTGAAAACTGGAACCTCCCCAAAGGGAGGGCGAGTTCTGGCCTACTCGGGTCCTTCTACATGGGATACAAGGCAGGAGGCTTCCAAGTGTGGTTCATAGCCTGGCATGGGGGTCCTGCTGGGGAATGATTTCCCTGGGCAGTGCCCTGATAATCCAACCCTCATGGCTGAACTTACAACCTGAGGTTCCCATGGTTGCTCAAGGCAAACCTGTCTCTCCTAGCCCTGGCTCCAGGCTCACGTTCTTGGAGAAATGAGACGACCTGAGGATAAGCAGGACTTCCAGGTGTTTGACCCAGGTCTTACCTGTACAGGGAGGACCACCCTCAAGTGGCCTGCCCTAAACTAGGCCAGATTGCCAGCCTGTTCTCATCCTGAATGAGAGCTGTGTAGCCTAGTGTAACCTGAAACTCATTCTGCAATCTGGGCTGGCCTGAAACTCCCAAGTGCTAGCATTACAGTATTTACCGCCATACCCAGCACCATGTTTTCTTTGATGCCAGATCCCTGAGGAACTCTGACCAAACCTAGACCTCGGGGTACCTGCAGTTCTGAAGGGACAAGGGAGGCACTCTTGTCAATAGATCTCGGGGTACCTGCAGTTCTCAGGGCTAGAGGAGACATTCATGTCGTGAAGCAAGCCAGCTGAGCTCGGCTCTGCTTGGAGTAAGGTCTTTGGCGAGACGGCTCTGGTGCAGTTGTGAGCTCCATTGTGGGGACCCATCTGGTGTAAGGGAAGAATGAACTCCCTCAGGCTGTCCCTGACCTCCATGCTTGTGCTGTGTCCTGCGTGCGCCCACACACAGCACATACAAATGTCATTTTGAAAACTGAAAACAGGATTTTGAGAGCTAGGCATTCTGGGAAGACAGAAACGGTGTTCCCACATAAATACAGTGAAGGTAAAACCTACCGCTGGCGGAGAACTAACTCTATGCTCCAAATGCTAGAACGACGGGTGTTTTTGTTTTTGTCTTTTTGTTTTACTTTCCCACAGTAATAGCTCCTGTGACTATCACTCTGCCACAAAACTGTATAGTAAGGTATGCTAGAATGCCCAAAACAACCGTGTCACGGGCAAATCACTAGTCAGGAGACTCCCCTGCACTCAGGAGAAAGCAGAGGCAGATGCTGTAACAGGAATGTCTCTGTAGCCCGGGGTCTTGCTGGACAGGTCCAGGGGCAGCAGCGGACTGGCCTACCTGGCCTGTTGTCCACTGAACAGCCAGGGGTGTGGGTAGCTGCGAGGCAGCTCTAGGAGCAGATGGGCCTACCGTTGTGAACTTCACCAAAACAGCAGGAAAGGGATCCGCGTGAACTGTGAGCGCCTAGAACACTCACATAAAAACAGGCGTCAGAAGGCACCCGCCAACCCCAACCACCAAGCAGATGACCCCACATTAAAAACTGAACCCTAAACAAGATGGGGGCACACACCTTTAATCCCAGCACTTGGGAGGCAGAGGTGCATGGATCTCTTGAGTTCAAGGCCAGCATGGTCTACAAAGCAAATTCTAGGAAAGCCAGAGCTGCACAGTGAAACTCTGTCTTGAAAAAATGAACAAAAACCCCAAACAAACAAACAAAAACCATTGAATTTTAGGCCTGGGATGTGGGTTGGCTCAAGGAGTGCTGGCCTAGCCTGTTGGAAGCCCTGGCTTCCATCCACGGCACCAGATGGAACAGGTGAGGTGGTACATGCCTGTGATCTCAGTACTGGGTGCCTGGCTACAGAAGACCTTGACTCAAGAAATAGCACACACCAAATTGTTTTTCTTCCCTCCGTCCCTCCTTCTCCTTCCCCCCCTTCCTTCCTTCCTTCCTTCCTCCCTCCCTCCCCTTCCTTCCTCCTTTCCCCCTTCCTTCCTTTTTTTTTAAACAGCTAACCACACAAACCAGGAAAGGAAGGAAACCTCTCCTTCCTGCTAGAGGACTGTAGTGATATTTCATTTGTAATTTTAGTAAATAAAGCTTGCCTGAAGATCAGAGAGTAAAACAGTCTCACTGGTCAGCTTTACAGACCAGGCAGTGGTGACACACGCCTTTAATCCCAGTGGCCACACTAGTTTGCCATAGAAACCGGTGCACACCTTTAATCTCAGCCCTCGAGAGGAATATAAAACAGGAGGAGTCAGCTCTCACACTGAGTCTCATTCTGAGGTTTCCTGGAGGCAGAATCACCATTTCAGACTGAGATAGAGGTAAGAGCCAGTGGCTGACTGTTTTGCTTTTCTGTCCTTCAGGTTGACCCCCATATCTGTCTCCGGGTTTTTATTGATTGTGCTACAGAGGGCATTCCAGTGAATAGCACATTTTTCTAAAGCTTTATTTATTTGTTATGTATACAGTGTTCTGCCTGCATGTCTGCCTACAGATCTCATTATAAATTGATCTCAGAACCTCTGGAAGAACAGCCAGTGCTCTTAACCACTGAGCCATCTCTCCAGCCCCTTGTTTTTCAATACAGGGTTTCTATGGAACTCCCTCTGTAGACCAGGCTGGCCTTGAACTTAGAGATATACATGCCTCTCCTTGAGTGCTGAGATTAAAGGCGTGTGCTCTCCCTCACCACCACCCCCACTAAAAAAGTAAACTAGAACATGAGAACATTAGGAATTGAGATAATCAGTAAATGAAAATATGAGGCGCTCAGAAGTGGGATATGAGACACTGGAAATGAAGTTATTTCACGCTGAGACACTTAACTCGCCAGGAGCACACGGTGAGGAGGAAAAACAGATAATCCCAAGCGAAGAGTGATTGACAGCTGAGAAGATGGAAGTGGGGGTGGGGATGGAGCCAGGACATCAAACAACCGAAGTCAAGAAATACTTCCCGGAAAGTACAGAATGAAGAATATCCTTGGAGGGCCGTTGAGAAAACTCAGCAGACAGGGCTTGTCACCAAGCCTGAGTTCCATCCCCAGAAGGAGACATCAACTCCTGACCTCCACACGTACTCTGTTACACGTATGTAGGCACCTACACACACACACTTTAAATATTAACAAAAGGCCTTGGTGCACGTGGGTGGGAGTTTGGTGTTTTTGAGGGCTGAACTTAGGCCGGAAGCAAATGAAAGACAATTTCTTAAGGAAAGAGAGAACTGCACACTTTATGGCCAGCACGCTGACTTTGGTACCTAAGGGCCCTGGGGAAGCAGGCCACGGGCCTGACTGGGGAATCCTGCACCCAGGGCCTTTCCAGGGCTCTGGAGAAGCTGCTGGTATCTCCTTGGAGCACTATATGGCTGGAGAAGTGGGTGGGATGCTTGGTGGCAGGTGTGTCTCACAACAGCCTTTTAGAATGTGGGTGTATGTGTGTGTGTGTGTGTGTGTGTGTGTGCAAACACTGTGTTTAGTAATGTTCTGAGCTTCTGCGGTGTCCTGATTAGATAATAAGGCAACCACAGGAAAACCTCTAATGTTTTGTTTTGGGATAGGGTCTGGTTCTAACCTGGGCTTGCCTGGAACTCAGCATGTGAACCAAGCTTTAAGCTCACAGCAATCCTCCTGCCTCAGCCTCCTGAGTTGCTCAGCTAATGATGGGCTATTTTAAAGTCAGGTTCCCTCTGCTCTTAGCACAGTTTTCAATGTGGAGGCACAGCAGGGAGAGGCTAGCTAAGGGCTCTGTAGGCACGATGTGTACTAGACAGTTAAGAGGGAGTCATGAGCTGTGGGGCAGGGAGTTCTTGTAAGTCAAATAGACTTACCAACGGTTTAACAAATGGCCCAGACTGGATTGTTTCATCTACACACACACACACACACCAAAACAAAACCCCACCACTTTAAAACAGGAAGAAGGGGCTGGGCGTGTGGCTTGGTGGGCAGAGCTTGCCTAGCGTGAAGGAAGCTCTGGGTTTTGTCCCCAGCACCACTAAAGCCATGTATAACTTCATAGTCTCAGCTCTTGGAAGACAGGCAGGAGGGTCACAAGGTCAGGGTCATCTCCTCCATGAATCTAGTTTGAGGCCAGCCTGGGCCATGTGAGACCCTGTCTTCTTAAAAACAACCAAAACCCACAAAGTGGCCGCCTATGGTAACCAGGACAAGTGCCTCCATCCAGCCCCCGCTGTGATTGGCACAAGGTGGATCCGCCACACCGTGTCTTGTCTCTTCAACGATGCAGAGCCTATTTCCCTTCTTACCTTATAGTGAGGGTGGGTTTCTCGTGCCTGTTTCATATGAGCTTTGGACAGGTCAGTGTGTCTTGAAGGAGGAACACAGCTTTTGTCTTCCAGTCCCGCGATCCAGGTGTTCAGGACAGACAGGAGCTGCTCTGAAACAACCCACTGTGGCCCCAACATACGTCCCAACCATGCCGAGGACAGCAGTGTAGGGCAGGAGCTGGGGTGGGAGCATCGAGCCATCCCTCATTTTTGTTCCCGAGGGCATCAGGCTGCCCCAGTTAGAGCTGGGCCTCACTGCCGCGTGCTGTTCATGGCTGTCCTTTCTTCACAGGGGAGGCTTGGACCGTTGCTCACCCTGACCTTGCCTTCGGGCTTAACCAGGAACAGCCAACCATGAGCTTTCTGAGTCTGTGCGAGCCTTTAGGAGGTAGGGCCTCCTGAGAAGTCTTTAGGTGATGGAGATCTGCTCCAGAAGATGGTGGGGTCTCCACCCCGACTCTTGCTTCCCGGCCATCAATGAGT